GAGGCGGAGGAGGAGGAGGAGTCTTGTTGCCTCTTGACGCCATGCCCCCGAAGCGCGCGCCCTGGGCCGGGCTGCCCTCGCCCCCCGGCGGCGGGCCGCGGCGGAGATGGTGCCCGCGGGGGTGGCGCGGCGGAGCGCCCGCCCGCGGCCCTCGCCCGCGCGGGCGCCCGCCGAGGGGCTCGGCGGCCTTCCTGCTTTCGGGGAGGGGGAGGGGCAACTCAGAGGAGGAAAAGGTACCCATACCTCTACCCTTCCCTCGTTTTCCCCTTTTTGGGCCTCCTGGGAGGCCCCCGTCGCCACCGCTGGATTCGCCTCGAAACCGCGGTCAGAACGCACCCCGGGAGAGGCCCAGGGAGTAGCGATATCGGTACCTTTTGACTTCCCCAGCAACGGTAGGGGGGGCTCTTTGTAGGCTTATGAAGTTCCAACCTGCTTCAGCCTTGACCGCCAGACAGAGCTTCGAGCACCAGGAACAAAAATTACCGAGGCTGGAGGGTGTGCACGCGTCGGGCCCTGGGAGGCGATACTCGTCCGACACCTTTTCGCTACTTTTCTGGGTGCTCGACCAGATGTCTGGGATGTTGTCCTTAAGCACAATGGGAACAACCTAAATCTAGTCCTCCTAGATGGCCATTGGGATCGGAGTAGATGCGGTCGGAGGATCGCGCCGCATCGCCGATGATCGGCGATGCATCGCCGACGTCGCTGGTGCATCGCCGACGCATCGCCGATGTATCGGCGATGCAGCGAGATCCTCCGACCCCATCTACTCGGACCCCATCTAGGAGGCCTCTTAAAACGCCATAAACATGAACTTTTGGCGCTCCGCGCGGATTTCTTGGATGTGCGCTGGAACCCCCCCAGCGGCGCCTCCAGCGCCCCCCCTGGCGCGCTCCGCGCGCCTGGGAGGGGGGTCCAGCGCGGATCCAAAGAATCCGCGCCGAGTGCCAAAAGTTGATGTTTATGGCGTGGTTTCTTCTTCTATCTAGGCCTCCCAGTTGGAGCCAGTTTTTTTAGGGTCTGGCAAGAGCGGCCGTGATGATCTGCCCTCTCCCTCCCCCACCCCTCCCGGATCACGCCACGCTCTTTTGCACTCAGGTGCAAAGATCTCTTGCGTTGTTTGTTGTTCAGAGGATCTGCAAAGATTCCCAGCTGCCCCGCGCCGTGATGCGATTGGGGTGGCGACCCTCCCCCCTTCCCCCGATCACGCCCGTTATCGCGAACCATAGAAAGCATGCTCAATGGGTTCTAGTAGATGGGGTCGGAGGGTCGCGCAGCATCGCCGATGTATCGGCGGTGCGGCTCGATGTGGAGCCTGATGCTCTCCACGCCAACATCGCTGATGCACCGCCGACGTCGACGATGCGTCGCCGATGCAACGCCGATGCGGCGCGATCCTCCGACCCCATCTAATGTACCCCAGAGGCCTCTAGGAACAGGGGCAACTATGGGGGGATAGGCATTGGGGGAGATTCGCAGCGACCCACAATCGCCCACTGATCGCCGATGGGGTTTAATAGCCCCACCCCGCCCGGGAGCGTGCGCATTCGCTATCGGCGGGATATTCGCCGACCTATCGGCGATGTATCGCCAACTCCAGGTCGATGTTTCCCCACCTATGCCTGTCCCGAGTCGTATGAGCGTCGTGCTCGAACAAAAAACGGCATATCAACATGACCTCTCGGCAAGCCGCGGGCCAAAAAAACGAACATGTAGATTGGCATAGATGGCAGCGTGACCTTCGAAGAGGCAAACACGGCGTGAGCATAAATCGTCGGAGCCCCAGCCGGATCCAAGAAAGCAGCGATGACCTCCATCCACAAGTGTATGTTTATTCAACTGTTTGTTTGCTTGCATGCCCTCGTAGTGTTTCCTTGACTGCATTCTCGTGCGCAATCGTCGGGTGCTCGATGAGGAAGCGCCGACTTAGCCTCGACTGGCGTCGATTAGCATCGGTTAGCGTCGGTTAGGGTTGATTCGCCTGAACGGGCAAGGTGGTATGGGAGGCTCCCGTGAGTTGCCGCAGAAGGGTAGGGCGGGACGGGAGAGTGCGGTGCTTGGGGTCCCTCAGCGGGACCCGGGGCTGTCAATGAACGACTCGGGATGGAAATCGGTCCCGAACAAGAAACAGGTCGAGTCCTGTGGGGGTCGGCACTGCGGTTAAATCGGGCATGTCTTTCTAAAGGAGGAAAATTCAAAAATAATCAAAAATTGTAGGTGGACGATGTTTCGATGATGGTTTGGCTATTTTTGAACATGTGTTGAGTATTTTTCAGATTTCTTCCAAACTCCGCCTGTCGGAGGACATGCCCGGCCTAAGGCTGGGGTCTCCCGATCGCTGCACACAGTGCGACAGTAGCGGCTTGTCCGCCTGGGCTTGGCCTTTCCCCCCCACCCCCCTGTGAAGCCGCGCACCTGCAGGGTCACTCTTGCCCGGGGTCACGCCTGCGTGCGGCCGAGGGAAAGGGGTGGAGAGAGGGGGCGCAGTGCACCGGTGGGAACACGGCATCTGGATGCAACTCCTGGGAGGTTGAATCCGACATCGGCGCTGGCATACATCGAAGAAGACATGAACGCTAGAAACATGAGCTGTTGGCGCTCCGCGCGGGCTTCTCGGGTCCGCGCCGGACCCCCCCCCCCAGGCGGCGCCTCATGCGCCGCCCTTGGCGCTCTCCGCGCGCCAGGGAGGGGGGCCCAGCGCGGATTCAAGAAATCCGCTCGGAGCGCCAATAGTTTATGTTTATGCCGTTTTTCTTCCAATGCAGTCACCCCGTATCGAAAGGATGCGCGGGAAGGATACAAGGGCCTTGGTAATTTTGGAAAGTTGCTCATCTTTCCCATGCGGGTTGACCGTGTCCGTAACTCGGGCTTAGTGCCCCTCAATCGTTCGTCCGAAGGCATCCCAGGAGTTCCCTCTTGACAGAACATTGCAGGAGGACGACGGGATAAATGATGGGACGAAGTTGAACAGGGAAGGGGAGGAGAAGTTCGAGGAGCAGGAGGAGGAGGAGGAGGAGGAGAAGGAGCAGGATGAGGACGGGGAGGAGGAGGAAGGAGGGGTGGGATCAGGAGCTTTGAGAGGGGGAGGGGGCGGGGGGCGGGGGGGGGCGGAAGACTGCACGGCGGAGGGAAGGGCATATGAGCTGTGCCCTCGAGGTCCACCCACGGGATGGTCCCGTCATGTTGGAGGAGGCCCTGCCTGCCTCCCCGAGGTCCCCCTCCCCTGGGAAGAGGGACGGAGCTTCCCTTGCTCCACCCTCCTTCCGCTGCCGTCCCTCGTCGCCGCCTGGCTCGTCCTCGGTTTTTCGCAGTCGGTTGTTGTTCTCTCTGAGGATGACGAACGAACAACGTAGTGCCATACTCAAAGGGGATCGGAGGGAAGAGGACTAGCTATGGGTATGAGTGCGGGCTGTCGAGCCGCGGCGGAGGCTCCCGCGCGAGCGGGGACCCTCATTCGACAGCACGTACCCATAGCACCCTCCGTCCCCCCTGTCCCAGATCATTCGATACACGTCGGTCGTTGGAAGTAGGTATTTCTGGATTCCCAGATCCCAGTCTGCTTCAGGCGCCTTACTATTTCGATGATCGAGTGGTTGTCCTGCCTCCTTCCTCTCCAGGGGGCGGGCGGAAGCCCAATTTACTTCAACGCCTTCCTACTTCATGTTTTTACCTCCTTCTTCTGACCGTTGGATACTCGATGTTTTTGGTCGCGATCGGTCGCGGCCGATCACATAACCGGTCGCGACTTGTCGCTACCCATCGCGACCGATTTGAAACACACATTGGCCTCGAACGATACCGAACATTGAAGCAACATTCATAGCGACCGTTCTCGTCGTTCGCCATTGGGAAAGTCCTTGTATCCGATGATTAGGGATGGGTATGGGTGTGTGCTGCTGGTTTGGCTGCTCTGAGCGGGCCTGGCTCCTCTTTGTCTCCCTCCCGGGCCGGCGCTTTGTCGTTCTCCTCCCTCCCTTTGTAGATGGTGGGTGAATTCGCCTAACGCGCCCCGTTTTGCTTTACTCGCCAGCGCAGTCCCTCTGCCTAGCAGCCGCCGCAAACCGTGTGTGCTGTTCGTTCGTCGGAGGAAGGAGGGCGAGGGGGGACACGCAGGAGGTAGCTGGAGAAGAACTCCCCCCGCGCGGAGCGCGGCAGGGCCCAGCCGCGGTGCCGGTGGCCTTCGTGTCCCACGCATGGAGCGGGACCTGCGAGTCGGAGCGGTTGAAGCCGGTGCGGCGGGTCGCCGTAAATGGTGGGCCATTGTTCCACCAAGGGGAGGTCCTTCTCCTCCTCCTCCTCCTCCTCCTCCTCATCATCCTCCTCTTTCTCCTCCTTCTCCTCCTTCTTCTCCTCCTCCTCCTCCTCACTCTTCTCCTCCTCCTCCTCCTCCTCCTCCTCCTCCTCACTCTTCTCATCTTCCTCCTCCTCCTCCTCCTCCATCCCCCTCCTCCTTTTTTGACGTTGCGCAGACCTGAATCAGAGATCGTCGAGCTATTCCCTCCTCCTCTGCTCCTCCTCTTTCTCCTCCTCCTCCTCCTCCCTCCCCTCCCCCTCCTCCTACTCCTCCTCCTCCTCCTCCTTCTCCTCCTCATCCTCATCCTCCACCTCCTCCCCCTCCTCCTCCTCCTCCTCCTCCTCCTCCTCCTTTACCTTCCCCTCCTCCTCCTCCTCCTCCTTCTCCTCCTCTTCCCCCACCTCCCCCTCCCCCTCCTCCTCCTCCTCCTCCTCCTCCTCCTCCTCCTCCTCCTGCTTCTCCTGCCGATGGTGCCTCACTCCGCTGGACCCCCCAGCACCCATCGAAAGTGGCGACAGTGTCGCAGATCGCAGCCCCCCTAGGGCGGCGAGGTCCCGCTCAGGTCTGCGTGGTGCCTCATTCCGCTGGACCCACCAGCAGGCTTACAAAGTGGCTACAGTTTCGCAGATCGCAGCCCCCCCCCCCCAGGGACGGCAAGGTATCGCGGGAGGCAGGAGGCGGGAGTTGGGAGGAGGACGCGACCGCAGTGTTCTATTCAAAGCGAATACCCAGCCAAGGAGGGTTGGGAAATCTATTAGATTACTCGTCCAAGATTCGCCTGTAGGAGGACACGCCCGACCTTGATGCTAGCAGAGGTGGAAAACTGCGCATCAAGTGCACCACGGCTGCACTGCCGACGCCCACGCTCGCGCTGCGCCGCCCCTAGGGCGGCAGTACGCAGCCAGGCGAGCGGGCGTGCTGGCCACTCGCAGACAACTCTTCGCCACCATCAGCATCAGCATCATCATCATCAGCATCATCAGCATCATCAACATAACATTTTCGCCGTTTATCCAGTCTCACCTTAAAGAAACGAGACAAGAGTAACGAAACGTTCCGTGTCTGAGGCGTGTTCGCATTTGTTGTTTCCCATCGTCGGATCCTGTCGCGGTCGGGCTCTGGGCTTGCGGGCCTGTTTCGCTCTGGTGCCAGACTGGTGTCAGAGCCTATTGTTTTCAGATGGGCTCTGCGCACGGAAACCCGTCTCAGCCCCCGCACCCTCCACGCTTGGCACTGCATGTCAAAATGCTAAACAACGGAAGCGTTGATGCATGTTTGTTCTGAGCCGGTCAAGAGCCTAAAGTAGAACATGCTGTTTAATGATGACAGTGCTCAACATCTAGAGCGGGTCATGAGCTCGGAGTGGAAAGCCCGGGGCGTTTGCCATATTAAACGAGCTCTCAATATTACTTGCGAAGACCTCTCAGACATCGCCTCAGTCCATGGTTGAGTTCGTCTGATGCGGACGGGTCGGCGGCAACCTTGGGGAGAGAGGAGGTAGAGAAGGAAAACGAAAAAGAGGTGTGGCCGACCAAACGCCTGTTTGGGACCCGTCGGACCAGAGAGCCCCGCCACTGCGCCAGGTGCCGATGGACCACTACCTCCAGGTCTCGGACGTGGCTGGGACGAGGACAAATCCTTTACAGAGTGTTCCGGAACGCTCTCTCCAGCACGCTCCGAGACATCCTCCAGAAATTGTCGGATCTCAGAGATTTTCGATTTTCTCATGTGTCCTGTAACCCGGGGAGGGTGCCGATAGTCTGGGGGAGTGGGGTACTTGTAGTCTGGGGGAAGGGTATTTGTAGTCTGGGGTGGGACCTGCAGTCTGGGGGGGAGCGCGTGTTCACGCGTCAACCCACGCGTGGATGTAGTCCAGGGGGGGTACCTGTAGTCCAGGGGAGGGGGGGTGCCTACAGTGGGGGGTGGTTGGGGGACTGGTAGTCTTGGGGGAGGGGTACCTCTCGTTCGGGGAGTACCTGTAGTCCAGGGGGGAACCTGTAGTCTGGGGGCCCGCCCAGAAATATTGCGGGGCACGAAGTAACTATCCTCAACCGAATTCGTCCTCGTCCTGGCCTCGTCTCCAGGTGCAGGCCGATCTGCACGCCCTGCGCGCCGAGTGCGCGGCGGCCGCGGAGGGGCTCCTCGACGCGCGGGGGGCGGTGCAGGCGAGGGGGGTTCGCATCTGCCTCGCACCACTGGACACGGAAATGCAAGCATGGATAAGGGCGCGTAGTTTTCAGTCGGGCATGTCTCTCTACAGGAGGAATCTTCAAACTTAGTCAACCAATAGTGTGGGATGTTCGGTAGTTTCCATGATCTGTTTCTTGTTGAAAGAAATCCTCCGAAAACCGCCTGTCGGGAGACATGCCCGACCTAAGATGTGGGCGCGTGGACTAGCGACGGGTCCCGGTTCCATGCGAAATTGGCGCGCTGCGTCGCCACATCAGGCAGACCTAGCCTCGTGTTGCGGGGGTGGTACCTTCGCGCCGATCGGTGGATCTGGCACGCGTGCGCGCCAGATCTGATCCATGTTGGCGTGCGCCCGACACTGGTGCCACCCGCTGTGGACCGGTGCCTCGGCAGCACATCATGGGAGCCTGGTATATACCATCCCACAGTGCAAAACCAATCCCTACAGTACCGCATTAATTGGTTTAGGAATGATTTGCTGTACCGCGCACTGTAGGCAAGCACAGCAATAATTGAAACGGCTATGAATGATGCAGGCCCAGTTTGTCAACCAGAGGAATTCGGGCGTAAATATGTAAATATTCTGAATCTTAGAGGAGTTAGAGAGGATTTGTGTCAACAAGAAGTTGGAGAGTTCAAAAGAATTCCGAATTAGAGAGAAGTTTAAAACAATAATTTGGAGAGTTCGAGAGGATGCCGCGTTCTAGAGGTATAGATGCGTGTTCGAGAGGATTTCGAGTTACAGAGGACTATAAAGAAACAGCGATGTGTTGAATATAATTGCGATTTGTAGAGGGGGCTTTTGCAACACATGGGCTGTGAGAGTTCGGCCCTGTTCCTACTCAGACATGTTTATGCTTATAGATATACATCGATTGAAAGACACCGACATGTTTCGGAATCCGAATTGTTTGTATATATAGTGGTGAGCGCTATAATGATTCCGAATGAGTGGGCGTTTAAAGACAATTAGTGGTTTCGCAAGGGTTCCGAATCCGAGTTTGAGCAGGTTTTTAATTATAATTTGGAGCGTAAGAGAGGTTCCCAAGAAGGAGATGGATTCCACAAATAGTTGGGAGAGTTCGAGAGGATTCTTGTTTAGATAGGAAAATCAACAGACATAGAGAGATAAGAATAGAAAGAGAGAGTGAGAGAGAGGGAGAGAGAGACAGAGAGGGAGAGAGAAAGCGAGATAGAATTTGAAGAGTTAGAGATGATTCAGAGTGAGAGAGTGTATACCAACAATTCGAGAGTCAACGGGGATTTCGAGTTGGGGGGGTCAAACCTAAATAAGTTTGGACGTTAGAGATGATTCCGATTTAGAAGAGGAGTCGCCAGTACAGAACTCAGAGAGTTCGAAAGGACTCCGGATCATGGAATGGGGAAACAATCGTGGAGAGTCATGAAGGATCCCGATTTCGAGAGGAATGTTGTAAACATAGGGGTTAGAGAGGATCCCGAACTGGACAGGAAATTGTACAGACCAACAGGAGTGGGATACTTCGGGAGAAAGAAAAGGGATGGAAAGGAAGAGATGATTCCGAGTAAGAGAAGAATGGAATCAAAAGCTTGGAACGTTAGAGAGGGTTCTGGGTCAGGGAGAATTGCAAAAAGAAGGTTGGGAGTCAGAGAGGATTCCGAGAGGAATGTCAAAACAATGATCGTTTGCGAGGATTCTGGGTTCGAGACAAATTCTAAACAAGAGTTTGGAGAGTTAGAGGGGACGCCCCATTTAGAGAGGATTAACAACAAGTTTGGATACTTTAAAAAAGGACTCCCAGTTAGAGGGGAGTTCGCAACGAATTGGGAGAGTTCGAGAGGACTCCTGGTTAGAAGGAGATGTGTTTATAGACCTAGAGAGAGAGAGGGAGAGAGAACAAAAAAAAGAGGGAGAGAGAGAAGGCGAGAGAGAGAGAGAGACGATCAAGAAAGAGAGAGGGATATAGAGAGAGGGGGAGGGAGAAAGAGAGAGCGATAGAGAGGGGAAAGTTCGAGAGGATTCCGAGTTAGAGAGGAATTCAAAAACAGAATTTTGATTGTTAGAGGGAGCTTCGATAAAGACAAGGACTGCTAAACAGTAATCCAGAGATTTAGAGAGGACTCCGAGTTCGAGAGGTCATTTGGAGAGTTAGAGAGGATCCCCGAGTTCGTTCGAGAGAATTGTTTTGAATAGAAAGGAATCTTCTCAAATTCTAAACATGACTGTTTACACTCTTCTGCAATTCGGAATAATGTTTGTCCTTTGTTCACTGGAAATTGTTTCTAAGTGCCCAACGTAGTTTGGAAATTCCGTTTTAATCCCGAACCCATTCTAATTTTTCAAATTCTTTCTATAGTTTACAAAAATCAATTCCTCTCTAAGTCTGATTCTTCCATATATGACTATATGTGCGTGTGTCAAAGAATACTCTCTAGCTTGCAATCTTCCCAATCTCTCCAAAGTCTTCTTGGCATTCCACTTTATCATTGAATCGTAATCGCTAGTTATCTAAATGATTGTACCATTTCTTCCAAGCAGAATCCTCCGTTACTTTTTTGTGGGTCTGAATAAACAATTGTTTGGAGTCTCCAATGTCAGAATACATTTGTAGTGCTCATATTTTATTATATAGATATATAACCTCCTTTCTAACCCCTGTAGCATTCAGTGCCCGCTCGGACCACAGCGTATCAGCCACGTCGCATCTACATCATGCCCGCTGGGAAGTAATTCTGATTCTGCCATGGTCCGAAATCCGGCTCAATCCGGCGCAATCCTGTTTAATCCGGCATAATCCCGCATAATTCGGCTTCATCCCGCTTAATTCGGTTGAATCCCGTTTTATCTGGCTTAACAGCCCCCCAATGGGGTTTAATTCTCTTCGATCTTTCCGACTGTGCACGTAAGAGTGACTTTTCGCCAGTGTGACCTCGGGTGCGGGCCCATTCGGGGTTCGATCGCCGAATTCGGCGGCAGTGGCGTCTTGCGCGCTCCCACAAAGCTGCGCACCAAAGGTCGCGCTTACCCAGGGTCTGTCGTACGTGTAGCCGAACATTCGTTCCCGGTACAGCGCCCCTCCTGGCAGCACGCCAGGGGCTGCTCGCCTGTGCGGTGGCAGCCGTCCGTAGAGCGAGGCGAGTCGCCGAGGGCTGGAGACGGCGCTGCCGTAGTTTCAGCCGCCTCTTGTCTTCGGTCTGCGGCAAGCGCGTGTCGTGCTGGCGCGGCGGGCCCCCCCCCCGCCGCGGGCGTTCGGAGTCGAAGGCTTCCAGCGTCCCAGGCTCGGCCCGCGTAGGAGGGTCCGGCGACTGGAGGGCCGCCCAGCCTTCAAGGCGGAGCGGTCCACGCGGCGTCAGAGGCTCGTGCCGGGGTCGTCACGATACGAATATGGGGGAAACGTAAGACTCGAGGACGCCGGCACTCGGCTTCGCCTGCGCTTTTTGACGAGCCCAGCCCTGGATTTCGACGGTCTTGTTTTCGTGGGATGCTTGCAGCGGAGCTCGCGTCAAATTTCGTGATGACCCCGTCAGGTTTACCCGGGTCACCCGTACCCAAGTCTTGCGTCTCCCCGATACGAAGCTGCCGTGCAGCGGTGGCGGTGAGCAGCAGGGCGCAGCAAGTAACCACGAGCACACCTGAGGGGATTTCCTCCTCCTCCTCCTCCTCCTCCTCCTCCTCGCCCCTCGGGGGAGAACCCGCCGACCCCGAACTGAACGATTTGGCCGTCTGGGACGACCACATCCATCACAAGCAATCCTGAGCCGCTTCTGGTGATTTGGCGATTCCTGGCATGCGCAAGACATCCCCCCAGGTGTGTCCTTGCTATGGTCGTAGTCGCGCGTTGTCCGCCACACGCACACACATTATATATAAACATAAATATGTGTATACGCGTGTATATATACATGTATATATATATATATGTATACATATGTGTGTGTGCACCACGCAGACGCCCTCTAATGGATTGTTCCTCTAATGGATTGCTCCTGGGCCTCAGGGGAGGGTGGCGCCGTAAAAATCATTCTTGTGACCCCGCGAATTCATACACCGCCACCCGCCCTGAAGCTAGAGGCAAAAGTCGTCGGCGGGTGTCTGCGTACGGTGCATCCTTGCCTCCTCGGCCCATCCCTGACCCCTTTTGATGGCCCGCCGCGCTCGAAAAAGCCTCGGCACGGGCGCCCAAGGGGCTTGCATCCTTATCGCTCATCCTTGACTCGTCATCTGCCTGCCGCGAGCCCCAGCGGGCGGCTGAGCTCGCGCTCGGAAGCGCGCGTCGCCCCCCCCCTCTCCGCCCGCCCTCCCTCCCTCCCCTCTTCTCCCCCCGCGCCGGTGCTGTTCGTCTGTCGTCCTGTCGTTGGTCGTCGTTGCGTCGTGCCGTTTCTCTGCCCTCTGCCGCTGGGCTCCCCTCGCGATGCTCCCGTCCCCGAGCCCCAGGCGCTGGAGGAGGAGCTGCGGCGGGAGCGGCGCGCCTCGAGCGAGGCGCGCTCTCGGCGCGAGGACGGCCGGCGCCACGAGGAGGCCGCGCGGCGCGCCCGCCTCGAGGAGGCCGCGCAGCGGCGGCAGCTCGTGGCGGAGCAGCAGGAGTCGGCCAGTGTACGCAGCATCCCGCAGGTGCAGGTGAGGGTCGGAGGAGGAAAGGGTACCCATACCGCTGCGCTTGAGTCGGGCACGTCCCTCTACAGGAGCAACTTTTGACGAGTCTTCGAGTATGTGTTTGGTAATTATTGTGTCTTCTTTGTTTGTTTTTTGTCAAAAATTGTCTTCCAAAGTCCGCCTGTAGCCTGTAGGGGGACATGCCCGACCTAACGCTACCCCTCCCCCGTTTCCCCCTTTGTGGGCCTCCTGGGAGGCTTTCGTCGCCACCGCTGGGTTCGCTGCAAACTTCTAGTCAGAACGCACCCCGAAGGAGGTCCGGGGGAGTAGCGGTATCGTCACCTTTTGGTTTTCCCAACGAGTGCGCTGCCTCCTCCTCCTCCTCCCACACGAGCGTGTATAGCTGTATATTTACTCGACTTATAATGAGAGGTTGAATTGATGGCACTCATATTGTCCAACAACTATGTGCTCCCCCTCCTCTCCCTCCTGCTTCTCCTGCTCCTCCTCCTTCCCCTCATCCGTCTCATGCTCCTCCTGCTCCTCCTGCTCTTCATTCTCCTCCTGCTCCTCCTCCTCCTCCTCCTCCTCATCTTCCTCATCCTCCTCCTTATCCTCCTCCTCATTTCGAAGAACCAGAGCACAGCATTAACACACTTTCGGTGCTCCCCGTGGCGTTTTTGGATCAGCGCTGGGCCCCCCATCATTGGTGTGGGGAGTGCGCCAGGTACGGCGATGAGGGGCCGCCGGGGGGCCCAGATCCGATCCAGGATTTCCGCGTGGAGCTTCGAGAGTTTACTACGTAGCACCCCGCAGTTGCGGATAAGAGTGAGGGGCGGCGGGGTCATCGGCAGTCTGCGAGGCTTTGGAAGCCCGCCGCAGGCGCTTGTTTGTTACAGATGGTACAACGAGCCCGCCGCAGGCGCCGAGTTCGTCGTTCAAGCAATTTGGGTGGGTCGCAGGCCTTGTCGCGGGTGGGTCGCGGGGTGAGCCGAGGGCCATGGGTGGGTCACCGGCGGGTCGCGGGATGGGTCGCGGGGTGAGTCGCGGGTGGGTCGCGGGTGGGTCGCGGGTGGGTCGCGGGGTGGGTCGCGGGTGTGTCGCGGGGTGGTGGCGGGTGTGTCGCGGGTCACAGGTGAGACGTGGGTGGGTCGCGGGTGGGGTCGCGGTTGGGACGACGACGGGAAACAACAAACAGCATAAAACAGCGCAATAACAACACCAATAACCCAACACAACAATATCAGCAACAACAACCACAACAGCAACAGCAACAACATGTTTACCAACAACAGCAACAACATCACCAACATTTCAACAGCAACACCAACACCACTATCAAAAACAACAACAGCAACATAACAACGACAACAACCAGTTTCAGACTGCTCGTTGTTAACTGCTCGGGTGCGGTCTAACTTGGTTTGCCTTGTATATGCCCAGGGCGTTGTTGCAGCGTTTTCAGCTCGGCGTCTTGGACACCATTTTTATAGCGTTGTCAGGTCTCAACAACAAAACGAAAAACGCTAAATCATGATGATTTGTTTTAGCGTGTTCAGGCATTGCTACCCTGTGGGACTTCGCCTCCGGCTCCTGTCCAAGGCGTTCCTTTTCCTGTGCAGGCTCCTGAGCACCGCCTGCACCCCGCGCCCTCTGGCCGACTGAGCCCCCGCCAGCCTGTGCTCTGTCTCCCGAATTTGTGCTTTGCGCGACCCGCCTAGTTCTTAACCGGAAGAGGCTCGATCTCGACCCGCAGACCAAAACAATCAGGCATTGCTTTAGCGTTTTCAGCTTGAGAGCGCCAACGCAACGCCTTAAGCGCCGAACCAGCGGCTTTAAAAAGGGTACACAAACATAGTTTTCTTTAGCGTGTTCAGCCTGCCAAAAGCACAACATCGGACACGCTAAGAGAAACAAGCAGGGCTTTGTTAATGCGAACTTGGTCTATCAACGTGTATTTTCCAAACCGTCGGTGCCCGCCCTGTTCGTCTTCGATCGCCACCACTTCGGGGTACATCTCCCTTTTCTGCAAGGTGTATTCGTGCAGCCCCTGAGGCATGGGAGGAGAGGGCGGATGGATGGAAGGGGCAAGGGGGATGTAGGAGGATGGGGCACGAGAGAGATGCACGGGACGCGGGGGCGGGGAACAGAAACCACGTGGCAGAACCAGACGGGCTGATCAGGCAGGTAGACCGTAACGGGCGGGTCGGAGAGGCGGGCCCGGGTGGCCAGGTCGAGCAGGCGGGCTGCTGAAGCGTGCGTCCTGCACATGGATCGCGAGGAAGTCTCGAGCGATAAAAGGCGATTCCCCAATAAACCGTGCGACAAGCGAGGGCGAGAGCTATGTGTGGAGGGCGCGGCGTTTTAGTAACTTGCGGGGGAGTCCCACGCGAAAACACGATTCCTGCATACATTGTGAAAAAAGACCCGCGCGAGAGCGCAGTGTTAATGACTTGTGAGGATATTACGCAGGAGCCGCTGTTGTTGTAAACCAGGGGGTTCTTGCACAATACAGCGTGCGAGCCCCAGGGAGGGAAGGCACTTCATCTTCATAAAACACAATGTGCCCAGGAGGGGGGTCAACACTGATTGCTTTCGAAATGAAATTTCAACAACAATAACCATTTTACGTCTGTTGGCTCTTACCTGCACGCGTACCCATCACGTATCCTAAACCCGCGATGCCCGCTTTTTTCGTCTTCGATCGTGCCCCCTCTGGGGATATATATCTTCCTCACCTGCAGGGTGCATTTCGTGCAGCCCCTGAGGCAAGGGAGGAGAAGACGGATGGGGGAGGGAAAGGGATGGAGCACGAAAGCGATAAACAGGCCGCGGGGGTCGTGAGCAGAGAACGCGTGGCAGAAGCATACGGGCTGATCGGGCCAGCAGACCCTGCGAGAACGGGCGGGTCGGGAAAGCGGGCCCAGGCGGCCAGGTCGAACAGGAGGGCTGCTGAAGCGTGAGTTTTGCAGGAATCGCGAGGAAACCCTGAGCGATGGAGCGCTTCCCGAATACATCGCTGGAACAACAACAGCGTGCGCCCATTCTTGAGCGTCGAGGGGGCGGGGTTCGAATAACGTGCCAAGAAGTTTCACGCGAGAACGCGATCCTTACATTATGATGGACTCCCGCGCGCGAGCGCGATTTTGGAATGTGTTGTGAGGAAATATCAGGTGGAAACAGCTGTGGTTGTAAACTGGGGGCCAACGACACAGTTCGGTGGCACTTCGTTATCCTTTTGTACAAAACGGGGCGCAAGCCCCGGGAAGAGCAGTTCAGTTGAACAAGACAATTGTTACCGGAGGGGGCATTACTAGTTGTATTAGATATGCCACTGAGCGACGACAACAACAAGTCGCACCGCGGAACCTGATTTCAGCGACGCGCCCAGGGACAGTGAATGACCGTTCGGCCCCCTCCCATTGATGTTTGCACTGATGTTTTACATCGGTTGTTCTTATCCTATTCTCCTGCTTCTCCTCCTGATCCTCCTCCTCCTCCTGCTCATCCTCCTCCTCGTCGTCCTCCTCCTCGTGTTCGCACCACCTTTCCGTGGCTGTGTTGCCAGGATGCTTGACAGCCGCGTGTACCGAAACAACGCGCCGTTGCGGAAGAGGGAAAGGGGGAGGCGGTGTCGTCGGCTGTTTGCGAGGCTCTTTTTTGCAAGCGCTGACCGTACAATGCGGTTTCTGCGGAGTTGCCGGGCGGCGGCCGCCTTCAGCCATCATGGAACGTCAGCCCCACGACGCGGCTGGTCACCTACCAGCCGGCACTGCCGTGGTGCACGAGGGGGCAGCCTCTGCGGCCTCCCTCGGCGCACCTGGCGAGTTCTAGTCTGACCGTAGGATGCGCCCCACACTTAAGTGAAGCTCTGCGGTCCACTGGCATATATAGGAACATCAAAATATGAAGGATACGTGTCTAAACTGAGTTCAAGGCAGCCGGGCCACCCCAAGCAGAGCGAGCAACAACCCAGGAAGGGCCAGAAGCGAGGTGCGGTTATCGAAGCGCCCCTCAGCGCCGACCGCGGCGCGGGGTCCACGCGGCCATTTCAAGCAGAGGTCAAACGAGGCGACGTGCAACTAACAGCAAGACCTCTGCGAGAATATGCGCGTGAGATACTAGGGGCTACTCGACTACTTCTTGGCCAGGAACAGGGCGCCCCTCCCTTTGCCCTTGCCCTTGGCCCCAAAGGCTATCTTAGAGACTTCCTTGGCGTACTTGGATCTGGGGCCGTGGTCCTCGCCAACCGTGAGGCCCAACTCGCGCAGGAGGCTGAAGGCCTGGAAGATGCCCCACATCTCCAGGAACAGGGGCGCGCGATTGGCTGCAAAGATCCACTTGCAATAGGCTGTGTCTTCGATGCCGTCGGGGTCCTCCGTGCGCACAGTGAAGCACCGCGCGGCCGCGATTGGGGCCCGTTCCGCCGAGCCGCCCACGTGCTCGAGCCACGAGAGCGCCTTATCGGCGGCCGCGCGCGCCTCGGCCCCTTGCTCGCCCTCCACGCGCGCGAGCACGGCCTCCCTGTGCTTCTCCATGTGGTTCGAAAGCCGGAACATCAGGGAGTTGAGCATCGCCGTCGGTTTCTTCCCGTAAGGGTGGCCTTTGTAGTCCTCGCCCGCCTCGTACGCGGCCTTGCGCGCGGTGGTTCCGGCCTCCTGGTACCGCTCTACCATGACCGCCATCTCCGCCATCAGAGGGTGCTCCACGGGCCCGGTCAGCACCACGTTTTCGTCTCGCATCTTCTGGGCCCTCTCGTCGTCCAGGGAAATCGTCAACCTCGATAGAGCCTCCAGCAGCCGCAGCTCCTTGGCCCGATTGCCCTTCGGATGCGGCACCCGGTCGCCCTCCCCGTCGTCCTCGTCCTCGTCCACGCGCTTGGCCTTCCCCGCGTCCTTGCCCTTGGCCTTTTCGGAGCCCTTCCGGTCCTTCTGCCCTGGGAAGTCGGGGACCTGCTGCCTGCCGGCCGCGGCCGCGGCCGCGCCCCCTCCCTCGATCTTGGCCGTCTTGCGCGGCGGGGACGAGATCGCCTCGAACATGACCACGTCCGAAGCTGGCGCGAGCGGCAGGTGCGTCGGGGGGTGCCAGACCCAGGCTCGAGCCGAGATCAACGCGGCGGGCAGCGCTGTCAAGAGCATCGGGGGCAGCCGGAACAGGGGCCACTGGGTACGCCTGCGGAGCGCTAGCGGGCCTTACAGGTGCAGCAGCCCCAGCCTTGCATCTGGACCGGAAGTGTCGAATGAGGGTATCGCGACGTGTAAACGACTTGTGGCACTGCGGACACTGGAGCTGGCCGAGAGGAACGGACTCGACCAACTTATGCTTCCGGGCGAGATGGATACTGAGCCCCCGGGGACCGCGACACAGCACGCCGCACTCAGGACACGGCGTATGGGGCTCCGGAGGGTCCTCGACCAAAGTAGAAGCAAACGCGAGCACGACATTGATGGAGTCGATCGGGATCCGAGCCAGCCACTCCAGCCAGGACACAGTAAGCTGATCCAACCCTCGATCCACACCAAGCCCCTGAGCAAGCCCGCGGAGAGCATCGTCCCCGCGATCGTGCACCAACTGCAGATCCGATAATACAATGCGTTGCCGCACCGTCATCTGGCCCTCGACCCGCCTCCCCTCGAACTCGAACCTCCCGAAGAAAGCGGCCCTGACAGCGACCGTGGGGTCGTACTCAAGGGTGCCGAAGAGGGGGTTGTTATCATCGTCACGGAAAACGGGACTAACCACTTTGCGAGTCCACTGCAGCCGCCTGAGTCTCAAGGAGGACTCGACCGTGGGGACATTGCATTTTTCACGCACTGTTTCAGATCGCACACGGGTGAGGTGCGCGGGCAAGCGTGCAAGGTGCCGAAGGCACCTGGTCTGGAACTTTTCCAAACGTAATAATGCAGCAGTGCTCCAGAACTTAGCCTCAAGAGCGTACATCAGTATAGAGCGGACAAGTGCTACCCACAGCGCCACCTTCGCCTGCAAGTCGAAGGCGTGGCACTTCCAGAAACGAGCAGAAAGGCGGTGGTGTGCTGTGGATGCGGACTTCACCCTGGCCTTGGCCTCCACCGTCGGCGTCCCAGAAATCGCAGTGCGGGAGCCGAGGTACTTCGCGTGTTCACGGACAGTGATGCGCACGCCCTCGACTTGCACAAACAGCTGGCCTTTCTTGACCTTCCTGTTAAAGGCCTTCGCGCCAGCACCAAAGCACCGGGCAGTAACCTCCAGCTTGGAATAATTGACCACGTAACGTTGCTCAACCAAGACCTGCGCGATCAGGGTGAGGAATGCATCCACGCAGGCGAAGTCGGGGAACAATTCCATGGCGCTCAAGTCGTCCATGAAGACGGTCTCTCCGACTTTGATGTCCACGCAATCCGAGCTCAGCCCTAAGAAGTTGTCAAGCTGCGGACTCAGCTTGGCCACGAACTGGTAGTTGTCCTCGCCCCTCGCGCCCTGGATGAGCCGCAAAGAGACGTCATACAATATAACGAAACATATGGGCCCCTCCACCGACCCTTGACGCACGCCCTGGTGGACCGAGAGGCGCCGCACCACGCGGCCTGTGCGAGTATCCTTCAACAAGATGTAAGTGCCGTTGTGGGCCTCCTCCAGTAGTAGGCGGAGACGCACGCGATCAGACATAGAAGCAAGTGTGTCCCAGAGCATTTCACGGTCGACATTGTCGAACGCCTTGCCTAGGTCAAAGAGCGCCTGCACCAATATCCAGCGAGACCGGGCATGGCTACGGCGCTTGTTGGCGGCGCAGGTGACACGATTGATAATCTCCTCCACAATGCCGATGGCGTCCCGCGTTGAGCGCCAAGGGAGGCCTCCAAACTGCACCGGCAACAAGGCGGAGGCGAAATCCAACATCGCAGGCTCCAGGAAGGTTTTGAGGAGCTGTTTCCCCCAGTGGCTGAGCAAAGACAAGTACCTGTAGTCGTTCTCAGGGTCCGAACCGTCCCCTTTGCCAGGCTTGCGAAGGGAGGCCATTTCACCATCCCGAAAAGAGGCAGGGAACGACACCAACGCACCCATTCCAGTGGACAGCTCCGCGAGGGGCTCCGCGATGATCTCGGATGCGAGCTTGAACAACTCACTGACTGCTCCCCGCAACGGCCCGCCAGGGCGTGCCGCAGAGATCGATAACCCGGCCTTGAAATTCGGCATCTGGTTGATCATAGATTCGATCATGGATGGTGTGAAGACGTCGTAGTCGTCCAAGTCGTCGGCACAATTAGAAGCAGAGGTCAAGACAGGGCGCCTCGAACTGACACCAAACCTCTGCATCAATCCCTGCTCGGTTAATATATCCTCTGGGGCTCCAGGGTCTGGCAGATGAAGGCCGACGCGCGTGGCTCCGTAGATCTTTCCCAAGGCTTGTTCCCGGGCTGACAGTTCTTGGCGCGCAGACCAGCAGAGCTCCCCATCCAAGCGAATGGAAACAGCCGAGGCCTTGCCCTTGGGAGCTAACACCGAGATGAGTTTGTAAGCTCCTCGAGGGTCCCCGCGGGAAAAAGCTTCCTTCGCCTCCAGTGCAAGGCGCTGGGCGTTTGCCCGACGGTCCTGCCTAATCGCCGCCTTGGCCCTCTTAGCGGCCACCGTAGCCATATGCGCCACGTAGAAGCGCTGCTGCGAGAAAGCGAAGATGTCATGGAAGTAAACGTCGCTCAATAGCCTCAGCCATCTGTGCTTGTCCTCTATCAGCCTGAGGGTGGACGGCTGGAGCGCAGACAAACGACTGGACGTGCGTTGGCCTGGACGGAGGACAAAGCCGGCGGCGATACCACTCCGCACCAGCAAATCCTCAAGCATTTCGTAGCCCCGGCCGGGATCGCGAAACGAGAGTGACTCCAACGACAGTTCGGCGAGACCTGCCTCCACCGAGGTTCGGAATTTAAGGGCCTTCTGTACGTCATCCGATTCGGACTGCACCAACACATGTTCAGGGACATCTTGGACTGACTTAAGTGCCGCTGAGAGGGAAACTCGGTCCCAACGTGGGGTAGACTTCTTAGGTATGCCAATGATGTCCAGCGATATGTCCACGATACCGACAACTGGACGATGATCGCGAAAGCCATTGAGTCCCACTGGGGCTGTAAAGTCCGTCCAAGCTGAAACGCCTGAGTGTCCCGCCAGCTTGACAATCAAGAAATCAATTCGGGAGTGCCCCCCCATCGGTCTAATCCAGGTCCAAGAAGGCGTGCGGGTACTGCCGAACGTGTTGAGCGCCTTAAGCCGGTAGTCGCGGAGGAGGGTCCGAAGTGAATCCCCGTTGTTACTGCGGTTGGGCGTATACAAACGGGAGCTCTTGAGTCCTACGTAGGGAGCTTCGGGCCGCAAGTCGCCGTTGTTGTCCAGGCCCCAGATGAGAGTGGCTCGCTTATGGTTGCCAAGTAACTGAAGAACGTGATCTGCGTGTTTCCAAAATAACTTCTGCTGTTCTCTGTTGGCGGCAACATCCTGGTCCGTTGTGTTTTCCCCTATCCAAATCGAGTGCGGCGCGTTCCCATTCAATATATATAGGTCGCTGGCCGTTCTGGAGGTACCCATGCGGACGCGAACTCCAACGAGTTTGCCCGGCATCCAAACGTGGCGACACACGATCGAGTAAGAGGGGAAGGCCGAAGTGTCCAACGCGATGAGAAGCCCGTCGTGAGCCGTCGCCGAAGACTTCGGAAAAGAAATGATGTGGTAACCCACGGCCATCCACTCGATCGAGAGGTCCATGCAAGTGCCTTGCATCAGCACGATCTTCGCGTCGATGCTCCGCGTGTACTTGAGGATCTCGTGGAGCCGTCCCGCAACCTTCAAAGACTCCGCGTTATATGACCAAACTTTGACTCGGTCCGCTTGGGCTGTGGTCGGGCGCGGTCGCCGCCCCGGGCGCCGCCCACGACTTGTCTCATGTTTCGGTAGCTCTGCGAATAATATGTGTCCCTGCGAACGTGCACCAAGTGACTCATGCATGCTTGTGAAAAGCTCCAGGGGCGCCAGGCACGCGGCGTTCGCCTTCGTGTACTCGCGTCCTCTGTAAAAACAACGTCCCAGAAGGAGTAATAGGCGTACGGCTCGCCGCAAGGCCCACTTGTGGGTCGGTCTGCCCGTGTTCCCTGCATCGTTGTCCTCATGCTGCTCCATGCATGCAGGTGCGTCGCGCTCGGGCGGGCGCGACACCCTCAGCTCACCCACATCACGTGAAACAAGAGATGCTACAAGGGCGGGGGCGGACTTGGGACCGCCAGCTGAGCAATGAATACGACTGGTCTCTGGCAACGCTCGAGCCAGAGCCTTTTTGCGAGGCTCTAAAGAAATCCGCCGCCGGCGTCGATATGTTACACTTTAGACAACAAGCCCGCCGCACGTGCCGATTTCGTCGTTCAAGCAATGTGGGTGGGTCCTGGGTGGCTCGCCGAGTGGGTTGCGGGGTGGGGCGAGGGTGGGTCGCGGGGGGGGGGATGACGACAACAAACGACGACAACAACAGCAGCAACAACACCAACAACACCACCAACAATAACAACAAGCAGCAACAAGCAAGCAATCATGATCCATGCCACGGAACCCCGCTTAAATTTCGCACCCAGGGATAGTGTAAGAATTTTCGGCCCCTTCGTTGGCGGTCGTTGAAAGAAGATATTGCTAAGGCCTTACGGCCGGTGCCGCCGACCCTGAAGACGACGACGACGAATACGATGAGGAGGAGGAGGAGGGGGATTGAGGTGGAAGGGAGCAGGAGAAGCCGAAGGAGATGTTCCCCATGTGGGCCGAGGGAGTCGTAGCAGAGACAGACAGGGAGCCTTGTGGCCTGCGGCCCTTCCCGCCACCGTGCTGGGGTTGTGGTTGAAAGGCCTCTTGGATGGTTTCGGGCCTGTTGGGGCCTCTGTTGGGTCTCTTGGGGGCCCCTTGAGGGGCTCTTGGGGCCTTCTGGGGGCTTCTTGGGGTGGAAGCTCGAAATGTCGGTTCGTGGTCCTCTTCTTGGGCCTGCTTGGGGCCCTTTTGGGGCATTCTTGGGCTGGCTTGATGTTCTCTTGGGCCGTCGCGGGGCCCTCTTGGGCGGTATTGGGCGGTCTGGGAGGCCTCTTAGGCCCAGAAAGGCGAGAAAGCCAAACAACGGATTAAAAACTATGGAACACACAAACGAAAAAGGTGAGAAGAAAGTCCACCCAATGCGAGAAAGGTTTGAAAAACTAATGAAAGCCGCGAAGGCGTCTTGGACAGATCGTTCGGCGATTGGGGACACTCTTGGACCTTCCTGGGGACCTCTGAGGGCATTCTTTGCGCGTTTTGGGGCTCCGGAACGCCCAGGGGCGGATGCGTATCTGACCCCCCCCTCGGGACCCTCACCCGGGCCCCCCCCTCGGCGGGGGAGGGATCAAAGGGAAGGGGTTTCCCTTCGACTTGTACGACGTTGCTACGGTTTTCTTTCGCTGGCAGGCTTGAAGAGGAGGGTGCTGGGAAAGGGGACGACGGAAACGCAGGGAAAGAGGACAACGGATGCGTCGACTGAGCGCATGCCGACAGGGGGTCCACACGCCGACAGGGTCGGCGGATTTCTGGATCCCCCGATCCCAAGTTACTTCCAGCGCCTTCAGATTTCGAGCATCGATGTGATTCGGTTGTGGTGTTTTATACTCTGGGAGGGCCTGGGCCCAGTCTGCTCTATCCGCCTTCCTACTTCATGTTGTTACCTACGACTCCGCCGCCACGCCCAAAGGGCGGCCTGGGGCACCCTGGGGAGATATCCCGCCTCGCGCCCTCGGGCAGCAAGCTTCTGCTCACCCTCGGGGGGGGCGCGCGAGCAGGGATCAGCGATTTGGCGCGCGGTCGCTGAATCCATGGATCGGGGGAAGTGCCCTCCCCAGAAAAGCGGCTGGTGCCGCCTCGCTCGGCGGCGGAAATCCGCGATTTCCCATGGAAGCGGGACCCGTCGCTAATCCAAGCCACCTTGATCCATGTTTGCGACGAAGTGCAGCTCGTTCAGCCCACCGCCAACATCGCTCTTGTGCGGGGGGGGGGGGGTCACTGTCAGATGAATGCGGCATGCGTGCTCGCTAATTTTGTCCGGGGCCTGTCTCCGCTTGTCGACGGCGCGAGGCGGGGGATCTCCCCGGGAAGCACCAAGGGGGGGTGGGGCCCCTGCGGGGGGGGGCGGGCGGCCGCGCGTTGTGTGCAGGTTGTGGGCGTGAACGCACGGGGGCTCCTCTGTCTTTTCACTCATCTGTCTTTGAAAGTAGGTATTTTTACCTCCTCCTCCTCCTGCTCCTCCTCCTCCTCCTCCTCCTCCTCCTCCTCCACTCCTCAAACATAATTTCTCCCTGTCGCACCCCGAGGCCAGTTTTTAGGGCGGGCCGGGCGTTCCGCCCTAGACTTCCTCACCATTCATGACCCTGAGGCTGAAGAAATGACAGCGGTTTCACGGATTCAGGGCGAGTCGTTTTCAACATGTGGTTCTCGCTTCAGCGCCTCGCACATTCGCTGTAAACATTCGCAAGAGTTTGACGGATTGAGGGCGGATGGCTTTCAAACTGTGGCTCTGACCTGAGCGCCGCGCACACTCGCTGTAAACAATTGCGAGAGTGTCACGGTTTTAGGGCGATTCTTTTTCAAAATGCGGTTCTCGTTGTAGCGCGGCGCACATTCGTTTAAACATTTACAAGAGTTTCACGGATTGAGGGCGGTGGTTTTCAAAATGTGGCTCTCGCCGTAGTGCCGCGCTCATTCGTTTCAAAATATTGCAGGAGTTTCGCGGAGTCCCATGATCAGCGTGTTAGAAATTTGCGTCTAGGAAAATGCACGATTTTGAGGGTGCAACAATTACGGTGATTCGCGGTGTTGAAGTCCCAGGAATGGCGTTCTGGAGCGATCCAGGACAGTCAAGACGCAACAGTTAGGTTTATCCGTGGAGTTGGAATCCCGAGGACAATGTTTTGGCATGCTTCTGGGTCTTCAAACGGAGGTCTTCCAACGAGGCAGGTCCCTCTGTGGAAATGAAGCGCGGCAGGGGCCTATGAAGAGGGAGCGTGGGGGAGGATTTATTCAAACATCGTTGGTGTTTCTTGGGTTTGCAATAGTCCTCCTTCTCCTTCTCTTCCTCTTCCTTCTCTTCCTCCTCGTATTTTTTTGGATTCACATGTTACAGTCTACTTTCGGCGCCTTTCTACCTCAACGATCGAGTGGTTGCCCCTTTTCCGTGCTCCTCGGGGGGCGGATGGACACCCAATCTGTTTTCAGCTCCTCCATACTTCATGTTTCTACCTACTTCTTCTGACCGATGGGTAAATTCTAGCAGCGCCACCCTGCCGGCTGGGGAACAATCTTTCGGTGGTCTGCGCGGGTTTCTCGGATTTGCGTTGGACCACCCTGACGGTGCCTCTGGCGCCGTCTCTGGCGCGCTCCGTGCGCCAGGGAGGAAGGTCCAGCGCCGATCCGAGAAATCCGCGCGCACCTCCGACAGTTGATGTCTTTTGAGGAGGCGGCATGCCTCACGCGACTGCTCGCCGCGAGCGAGGCCGAGTGCGACAGCTTGCGGAAGGGCAGCGCGGCGCTCGAGCGCGAGCAGCACGGGGAATTGGCGCGGCTGAGAGGCGAGCTGAGCGAGGCTGGCGGGCTGAGGAGGAGCCTGGAGGCCCAGGAGTCCTGGCGCGACCGCGCGCTGGAGCAAGCGGGCCGCGACGCCGCGGAGCTGGCACAGCTGCGCACGGAGGGCCGCGAGGTGGCCTGCCTACTGTCGCTGCTTGCCGCGAGCGAGGCCGAGTGCGACAGCTTGCGGAAGGGCAGCGCGGCGCTCGAGCGCGAGCAGCACGGGGAATTGGCGCGGCTGAGAGGCGAGCTGAGCGAGGCTGGCGGGCTGAGGAGGAGCCTGGAGGCCCAGGAGTCCTGGCGCGACCGCGCGCTGGAGCAAGCGGGCCGCGACGCCGCGGAGCTGGCACAGCTGCGCACGGAGGGCCGCGAGGTGGCCTGCCTACTGTCGATGCTTGCCGCGAGCGAGGCCGAGTGCGACAGCTTGCGGAAGGGCAGCGCGGCGCTCGAGCGCGAGCAGCACGGGGAATTGGCGCGGCTGAGAGGCGAGCTGAGCGAGGCTGGCGGGCTGAGGAGGAGCCTGGAGGCCCAGGAGTCCTGGCGCGACCGCGCGCTGGAGCAAGCGGGCCGCGACGCCGCGGAGCTGGCACAGCTGCGCACGGAGGGCCGCGAGGTGGCCTGCCTACTGTCGATGCTTGCCGCGAGCGAGGCCGAGTGCGACAGCTTGCGGAAGGGCAGCGCGGTGCTCGAGCGCGAGCAGCACGGGGAATTGGCGCGGCTGAGAGGCGAGCTGAGCGAGGCTGGCGGGCTGAGGAGGAGCCTGGAGGCCCAGGAGTCTTGGCGCGACCGCGCGCTGGAGCAAGCGGGCCGCGACGCCGCGGAGCTGGCGCAGCTGCGCACGGAGGGCCGCGAGGTGGCCTGCCTACTGTCGATGCTTGCTTTGAGCGAGGCCGAGTGCGACAGCTTGCGGAAGGGCAGCGCGGCGCTCGAGCGCGAGCAGCACGGGGAATTGGCGCGGCTGAGAGGCGAGCTGAGCGAGGCTGGCGGGCTGAGGAGGAGCCTGGAGGCCCAGGAGTCCTGGCGCGACCGCGCGCTGGAGCAAGCGGGCCGCGACGCCGCGGAGCTGGCGCAGCTACGCAGTGATGGCTGCGAGTCGGCCTGCCTCCGGTCGATGCTCGCCGCGAGCGAGGCCGAGTGCGACCGCGTTCGGAAGGGCAGCGCGGCGCTCGAGCGCGAGCAGCTCGAGGAGCTGGCGCGGCTGAGAGGCGAGCTTCTGCAGGCCAGTCGGCTCCGCGGGGAGCTGGAGGCCCAGGCCTCGGCCTCGAGAGCGCGCGCGGCCGCGCTGGCGCCGTCGGTGCCCACGCCTCCCCGAGCCCGCCCCCAGCGCGCTGACGCTGTCGGTGCCCCCGGCGGCGGCGCCGCGGCCGCGGTGGCAGCGGCATCGGCGCCGGCGGGCCCCGCGCGGCCCCGCGGCGGCGAGGCCGGGGAACCCTGGCGCGACTGCGCGCCGCAGTTGGCGCAGCTGCGCGCCGAGGAGCCAGCGGGCTGCGACGCCGCGGAGCAAGCGGGCTGCGATGCCGCGGAGCAAGCGGGCTGGGACGCTGCGGAGCCAGCTGCCGCAGAGCAAGCGGGCTGGGACGCTGCGGAGCCAGCGGGCTGCGACGCCGCGGAGCAAGATGGCTGCGACGCCGCGGAGCAAGGGGGCGGCGACGCCGTGCAGCAAGCGGGATGGGGCGTTGCGGAGGTGGCGCAGCTGCGCGCGGAGGCCGGCGAGGCCGCCGCGGTCACGGCGCCGGTGGCGGCGGCGGCGGCGCGCAAGATCACGGACTGACCGACGACCCACAGCCGCGGCGGCGGTGATGACGACGGCGGAGGCCTCCCACCACGGCGACGGCGGCGGCGGCAGCGGCGACGACGGCGGCGACGACGACGGCGGCGACGACGACGACGACTATGACGACGACGACGACGATCGACGACTTGCGGCGGCCTCGGCGACGGCGGCTGAGCTCTCCCCGTGACGGCGGCGGCGGTGGCGGCGACTGAGACGACCGACCTATCGATTGACCGATGGCCGACGACCAGCGACGACGACGGCCGTGGCGACGACGATGACGCAGGAGGTCTGCGCTTCATTGCCCTTCGCACACCCTTTGTCGCTCCAGGTCTGTCCTCCTTCCCCTCTCCTTTTTCCCAACCATCCTGTGGTGTTGGGTCCTCGTTTTGAAGAGACGGTGCCCCGCGTTCCCTCCTTCTCCTCCTCCCGCTGCCCCCTCCCTCCTGCCATCATCATCATCATCGTCATCATCATCATCGTCATCATCAACATCACCATGATATTCGGCGTCATCATCAGCATCACCCTCCGCATGTCTCTATTTCGGCACACCAATCACACGGTTCGTGGCCCCATAGGGAGCTCCACCGAAGCCCCCAGTGGCAGGGTTCGCATGGCGGCCCCGCCTCATTTTGGCGCACCCCTCACACGGTTCGTGGCCCCATAGGGAGCTCCACCGAAGGCCCCAGTGGCACATGGCGGCCCCGCCCATTTTGGCGCACCCCTTCGTGGCCCCATAGGGAGCTCCACCGAAGGCCCAGTGGCAGGGTTCGCATGGCGGCCCCGCCTCATTTTGGCGCACCCCTCACACGGTTCGTGGCCCCATAGGGAGCTCCACCGAAGGCCCCAGTGGCAGGGTTCGCATGGCGGCCCCGCCTCATTTTGGCGCACCCCTCACACGGTTCGTGGCCCCATAGGGAGCTCCACCGAAGGCCCCAGTGGCAGGGTTCGCATGGCGGCCCCGCCCCATTTTGGCGCACCCCTCACACGGTTCGTGGCCCCATAGGGAGCTCCACGAAGGCCCCAGTGGCAGGGTTCGCATGGCGGCCCCGCCTCATTTTGGCGCACCCCTCACACGGTTCGTGGCCCCATAGGGAGCTCCACCGAAGGCCCCAGTGGCAGGGTTCGCATGGCGGCCCCGCCCATTTTGGCGCACCCCTCACACGGTTCGTGGCCCCATAGGGAGCTCCACCGAAGGCCTCAGTGGCAGGGTTCGCATGGCGGCCCCGCCCATTTTGGCGCACCCCTCACACGGTTCGTTGCCCCATAGGGAGCCCCACCGAAGGCCCCAGTGGCAGGGTTCGCATGGCGGCCCCGCCCATTTTGGCGCACCCCTCACACGGTTCGTGGCCCCATAGGGAGCTCCACCGAAGGGTGGCAGGGTTCGCATGGCGGCCCCGCCTCATTTTGGCGCACCCCTCACACGGTTCGTGGCCCCATAGGGAGCTCCACCGAAGGCCCCAGTGGCAGGGTTCGCATGGCGGCCCCGCTTCATTTTGGCGCACCCCTCACACGGTTCGTGGCCCCATAGGGAGCTCCACCGAAGGCCCCAGTGGCAGGGTTCGCATGGCGGCCCCGCCCCATTTTGGCGCACCCCTCACACGGTTCGTGGCCCCATAGGGAGCTCCACCGAAGGCCCCAGTGGCAGGGTTCGCATGGCGGCCCCGCCCCATATTGGCGCACCCCTCACACGGTTCGTGGCCCCGCAGGGACATAGAGAGCTCCACCGAAGGCCTCAGTGGCAGGGTTCGCATGGCGGCCCCGCCCCAGTGTGGCGCACCCCTCACACGGTTCGTGGCCACATTGGGAATTCTTTTTGCTTCGTCCCACCTGCCCTGCGGTATTCACGTTTGCATATGGTTGGGTCCTTCGCCAGGATAATTTGTTTTGTGTTTCTCTCGTCCCCCCAATCCCCTCTCCACCCTCCTCTCTCTGTCGGCCCCTCCCCCGCACCCCCCACTGCCCGGAGAAGGGTGCAGAAAGGAAGGGGGGGGCGCGCGGAGGGGGGGAGTTGGGGGTTGGGGCAGGGCGGGTGGCACAAAGGGGGAGGGAAGGCGAGAGCAAGAGAGGGAGGCAGTGGGAGGTCGATGCGCCTTTGGGGAGGGGGAGGAGGCTTGGCACCGCTCGGACGTGTGTGCGCTTTTTTCATCTTGCCGAGGACCATCGATGAGCATCCTGGATCATCGAGGAACCAAAAAACCAAGCCGTGCGTCATGAAGACGCGTAGGCAGAGAAATGACTAAAAAGTTATGCTGGTGCGCCAAACGCGCCCCGGAAGCAGGAACAAAAGCACGCACGAAATCGAAGCATGCACGGGGGATGGACATCCGAGCGATGGCGAGAGGTGGGGGGAGGCATGGGAGGAGTGGGGAGGAGATGAGGTCACGGACTTGGAAGGGGGGGGCTGGAGGTTAAAAGACGGGGTTGGTGGATGAAGAGGGTCGCACGTGGAGGGCATAAGGGATTGAGGAGGAGGGAGGGCGAGGTGGGAGGGAGCAGGGGGAGGAGAGGCGCGAGGCTGGGACGAGGTCGGATGTTTGTACCAGGAGGGATGATCGTGGGCGGGACACGTACCCGTCGGTCGTTGAAAGTAGGCATGTTTGGATCCACAGATCCCGATCTACGTGAGCCGTCCTCCTACTTCAAGAGTCGAGCGGTGTTCCCTCTTCCCTTTTCCTCAAGGGGTCCAACGGAAACCCAATATTTTTCCAACGCCATCCTACTGCATGGCTCTCTCTACTTCTTACGACCGAGCACATCCACGGGATCGCGTATGTACGGATCTCACAGTAGAAAGGGGGGGGTCGAATTCGGGAGGGGCTTGATTTTAGCTGTCTTGGAGGGTCCCAGTGGTCGGAGGAGGAGAAATGTACCCATACCGCTACCCTCCGCTCGTCCTCCCCTTCGTCCTCCCCTCTTTTGGGGGCCTGCCGGGAGGCCCGCGTCGCCACCGCTGGCTTCGCCCCGAAATCCGGAACAGAACGCACACTGGGAGAAGTCAGGGGAGTAGCGGCTTGGGCCAAAAAAGGCCGCCCTTTGATGGCTGGTCTCGGGGGGCTCTGAAACTGCTTGTCTGGGAGGGTTGTGGCCCCCTCCCCTTTGGGTCACGGATTTGGAGCGCATGTCCGCAGGGGGGCACGCCCCGGCATCCATCGGACGGGGCTAGGACGAGGATAGAAGTCCGTCCCTGGGCCTTCCGGAACGCTCTCAGAGCGTGCGGGAACGCTCTGAGAGGACCGCGGCGCCCGAGACATCCTCCAGAGCCGCCGACTCGAAGATTCTCTGTGCATCCTCGCCCGATGTTAGCCTCGTCCTGGCTTGCCCGGATCATTGGATACTGATTCTTCGATCGGTAGCGACCGATTGTCATTCCAAATCGGTCGCGATCGGTCGCGACCGAGCGCGGCGGATCCTCAGATCTGTCGCGATGGGTCGCCATCGATCGCGACCGACCGATTTTGAAGAAATTCGGTCGCGTCCGATACCGAAATTCTGGACGCTTCGCGTATCCCCTCCTTCCCCCCCCTTGCCGCCCCCCGCCGCCTGATCCGCGTTCCCGCGCGCGCTAGGCAATTTAGTCGCGGCCGTAGCCCGCCCGCGACCTCCCGCCGCTGGCGCTTCCGCCTGCGGCTGTAAAAAAATATTCCTGCGAAGGACCCAACCATGTGCAGCTGTGTGTAACGCAGGTGTGGGTATCGTCCTCGGTGAACCTCCCTCTGGGGCCACGACGCGTGTGACGGGGGTGCCAAAATTGGCACGGGTACGCCATGCGGACGCTGCCACCGGAACCGTCGTTGCAGCCCCATTTGAGGCCACGAAACGTGTGAGGGGTGCGCGGAAATGCAGGGTGGAACCACGTGCGGGCGCTGCCACCAGGGCCTTTGGTGGCCGCGAAACGTGGAAACGGTGTGCCGAAATGGAGAGGGAACTGCATGCGGAACCTGCCACTGGGGCCCTGAGTGGAACATTCCATGGGGCCACGAAACGTGCGAGGGGTGCGCCGACATGGATGGGGGGACTGCGTACGGACCTGCCACGGGGGCCTTGGGTGGAGCACCCTATGGGGCCGCGGAACGTGCGAGAGGTGCGCGGAGATGGAGGTGGAACTGCATGCGGACCCTGCCACTGGGGCCTTCGGCGGAGCACCCTATAGGGCCACGAAACGTGTGGTGAGGGGTGCGAAGAAATGGGGATGGAACTGCCTGCGGACCATGCCACTGGGGCCTTCCGCGGAGCACCCTATGGGGCCACGAAACGTGTGAGAGGTGCGCGGCGGAACACCCAATGGGGCCACGAAACGTGTGAGGGGTGCGCCGAAATGGAGTGGAACTGCATGCGGACCCTGCCCCTGGGGCCTTCGGTGGAGCACCCTATGGGACCACGAAACGTGTGAGGGGTGCGCCGAAATGGAGGTGAAACTGCATGCGGACCCTGCCGCTGGGGCCTTCGGTGGAGCTCCCTATGGGGCCACGAAACGTGTGATGGGGTGCGCCGAAATGGAGGTGGAACTGCATGCGGACCCTGCCACTGGGGCCTTCGGCGGAGCACCCTATGGGGCCACGAAACGTGTGAGGG